CAGAATGTTCCCCTAGTGGCTTTCTCAGCCATTTTAAAGTATTAGGATGCCATATCATTCTTTCGAACCAAGATTTCAAGGAGGTAGGTTGTCTTTAGTCTGCTTGAAATTTCATAGTTTTTTAGACCGAAATACAGCTTAGTTACTAATCTTGATAAATTATAGTGGAATTCTATGGTATCAATATAGTAATTTACGATTTTTTAGTTATTCAAATGTATATATATAAAACATCAAAAAAATTATTTTCTTTCACATCCTCCATGTGCAAAATTTCTTAAGGCTTTGCAACCTACATCAAGCAACAACTGAGTACAAAGGTCATAACTAGAAGAGATAATTGTTTGCTTTACTTCTTTAGTTACTGTTTTATGTATTAAGAAAAATAAGTATAAAAACTTATTTCTAAATAGCAATAATCTATATACATATATAATGTATAGTAATTGAAATGTGAAAGTATTTTACAAAATACTAGTCCACTAAAACACAGCCAAGATGGGTCACTTTGTAGAGACTAAAGGTCAGTTTTATATTATTGAATATCGTAACAAGAGTGCACATGCACCACATCATTGTAACTTCTGTATTGTTAGCCAGGCATGGCTGAAAAGTCAATTTAATAAATATATATGAATGTATAATGTTAGGAGATTTAAGCTATTTAGTCTAAACATTTATATTTATTCCTTTTTTTTTTTATGGTGGTTACAAGATCGGTCAAATCGACCAAACGCGTCAAGATATTCGTTAGTGAAAATAACAGATAGAATATAAAGTTTTTTTTAAAAAAGTTTGATAACTATCTGGATATTATAAGGATTTTGCATGTGAATTTTGAAAATTTTCTGATGCATAAAAGTATTTTTAATCTTAAAATGAAAATTACCTTGCATGCTGGATAGGAAACATGCAAAAAGAAAAAGGCATTAGAAAAACATTGCTTTGGAAGAATTCTAAATTAAATATCTGATGTTTCAAAAAACTACATACTTATAGGACCTTTCATCTCAAATTTAAAAAAATTTCATCCACTACTTTCATTTTTGTAAAGAACTTTCATGAGAGTTGCGTACCTACTTACATTGTAAGTAGGTCATAGTTCGAAGCACTAAGAAAGTGTGAGTGAAGTGTTTTGTTGGAAATTCTAAGTATAACAATAATATTTTCCTGGAAGTAATGCTTTGATTTTATATACATAGTAGATTTTTGTTTTAAACTTTAGGTTTCTTCATGTCAACATTTTGTTAAAAAAATCTATCATCTGGTATTTATTTCATATATGCATATGAATATATATATATATAACCATTTTTTCTTTTCTCTTTTTTTTAATTTTATAATTATATGTATATAGTGAAATTAGTCTACTATTTTACACTTAAAGTAATTCAAAAAATTTACCCAGTAATTTAATGATCTCTTCTCTCTTCAAGAGAGAACTACAAAAATCCTAACTTCGATACTCTCTGGCTATAAACTTGGTAATCAGTGTTTCTGAGTAGATCTCAAGACTTTTAAGCCTTTGGGCTTAGTACTATGAGCATGTTGAGTTAACAAACATATTGAAAAGTTTAACTCACTGATATTGTACGGAGTTTTGGTATTGCCAGTTTGTATATCTTTAAAACTTCACTAGTATTATATACAAAGAATGAATTAATTTGATCAGCCTTGTGATGTTTTTTAAAAATCCAGTTTAATTGGATAGTTGTATATTTTTAGTTAGGGCAAGCATGTATTAAAAAGTGTAAAATTCAGAAAACAGCTAAAATGGGATAGAAAAATATATTTAAAAATGTTTCACCACATTAATGGTGGCAAAACGTTTTTTAATGATATATTTTTCTATCTCTTTTTACCTGTTTTCTGAATTTTAAAATTTTGTAGTGTGTGGGATACCTCCAACATTTGTATTTGTGTATTAAAAATGTTTCAAGTATTTAAAAAGTTGCTCATCATCCCAAATAACCAGATAGATTAGGGCTATCTAAATAAAGTTCCCATTAATAATGTACAAAATTATTTATTATGATCACTTTTGTTTTGTTTTTGATTTTTAGACATCCAAGAATAATCCTGAAGAGAGAAGGCTAGAAAAGCGACTAAAAAGAACATCTAGAGAAATCTATAGACTTAGGAGGAATCGTAAAAAGCAACCTGATATTTCAAGTTTTAGGTAGGATTTTTGAAGCACTATTAAATTTTTGGTAAATGTGGTGTGCATGTTATACTGAAGATGTTCATGGTAGGAACTTGTACATACATTTTGGTTTGTACATGGAGTTTTCTATGGTAGTAGTTCCCAAAGAAGTTTGAATATTTTTTTAATTATTATTAAGCATTCTAAATTGTCAACAAATACTTACAATGTGTATTATTCAAACGTTTTTTTTTAATAAATTATAGATTAATAATTGTAATTCTACCTTACAGGGAAAAAATGGCTTTTTTTACAAGGGTCAACAATGTCATCCCATCTCTTGCTTCAAGTGAAAATGTTGAAACTGTGACATCCCAGAATAGCTGTGTTCCACTAAACTCCAAATCTTCCGGACCAAGCAAGCAGAACATCAAGGTTGATAGTGCTGACACAGAACAGCGATTTGAATATACAATTGATCCAGAATACGGTGTAGAGGTGTGACCCTACGACTTCTGATCTCGATTATTTCACACAATGTTACTGTACACTTAGAGTTAGCCATTTATATAACTATACTCATGGGTTGTGATAGCAGTAACTGGGGAAAAGACCTTTATGTTTGAAATCAACTGTTGTTAAATTATTAGGAATAAGATTGAAGAGTCTTCAAACCTATTTTTATGGAGGCTATCCAGGTTTTTCCCATGTGCCAAGATACTCATGTTTGCAGTTGAAAGTTAATTAAGATGCACTGTTAGATAGTAAGCTTCCAGATTGCAATCTCATTTTCTTTAAGTGTTTTTAACATGCAGCACGAACAAATTCAAAACAAATTATATATGTATAATCCTCATTATTTACATGTTTATATGGTATACTAAAACATTGGTTCTATCAGTTTTGTTTCATGTTGTATATACAGTTGAATTTACTCAAATAGACTTCTGGACTTACACAGATAAAGTTTTGTCTTTTGTGAACCCGGTGAAACTTTTTTATTGGTCAACTATTTATAGAAATTTAGTAAAATGTGTTCTTATCTTCTTTTTTTTTTGAGAACAGTAAAGAGTTTGTTGTCAAGTGTTTTGTGTGTTTGTGTGTGTGTGTGTGAATAACATTTATTCAGAAGCATGCTAAAATCACTTCACGGGTAGTTGAAATATTGTGATTAAACTTGTAATGGTAGATGAGTCAGTATAAAATTTCCTAGGATACCTTGACTCACAATGTATAGCACATGTGGCTCAGGTAATCCTTCTTTGTACATTAGTTATTGATCTGACTTACTCTTTCATATTATCTGTAGTCTTTCTCATGTTAAACTAACTTTTCCTATTGTTTTTTGTTTGTGTGAAAGCGAAAGTAACAGTGAGAGTACAGTTTAAATACTGCTACTTAGAATGTACTCACTTTTTGTATATTTCAATCATTTTGTACAATTATTTTAAGCTTCTATTGCCAACTGCAACAACATGTACATGCTCAGTTGGAGCTAAAAATAAAGTTATTTTTAAATTATATGTCAGTTTTTATTCTTTTGTAAGTAAAAAATATGCACACATTGTTTACACTATCTTGTCTAAAGAAACAAAATTTAATCCCTAGCTCTCGGGATGGTAAAAATCCTTCATCAGGATGAAGGATTGTCAACCACTTCATAAACTTGGGACGAGGTAAACCTTTATGTTTATTCCTAGAGGTAATAATCTGTTGCATAAAGTATGTGAAGACTTTCAAGTTTTAAATTACCACCAACTTATTTCCTCCTAAACAGAATTCCATTAATGAAGCTATTTTATTTTATATTTCAAAGCACTAAACTGTATAAAGAATATGCAAGATTTGATTTATTTGTTTTATTTCAAGAAAGTGATTAATGATATAAAAGCTGTGGTACTAATTCAATATCCTCAAAGAATTAGCCATTTGTAGAACTATACTCATGGGTTCTAATAGTAGTAACTGATGAAAAGACGTCTATGTTGAAAAATGTTTAATCTAAATTGTAATAAACCAAATACATTACCTTGTGCTTACCATAATGTAAGGTCATTTGCTAAATATTTGTCCAACTGATCCAAGTCATTCTGTAGTACCTCATCATCCTCAATACAGCTAGAAATACCCAAACATTTAATGTCATCAGTGACTTTAATAATTCATTAAGTATGCTCCTATCATTAATGTAGATAAGAAAAAGGAAAGGCTCAAGCACTAGCCCCGAGTCATTCTGCTATAATAACAAGGGTCCGATTTGACTGGACCCTATTAATAACAAGCTTACTGAAGTGATTTTCATAGCTTATCTTCTAGGTAACATGTTATCAAAAGCTAGGTACACTTGCCTATCTGATCATTGATATCCTTTAAATCCTAGGGAAGAGACATCATTTGGTCGTGGTGCTTTACATATGTTTCGAATCTTTCAAACTTTGCACTTAGCACCAGAGGATTAATATCTACATAGTTCAACTCAATTCCAATATTTCTGATAGAATGTTTATGATCAGGAATATTGCCAATATCTTCTCATGTAAAAGCAGAAGAAAAGAAAACATTTAAAAGATCAAACATATCATAGTCTTCAACAAAATTATTGTCATCAGCATCCTTTAAAATTCCAATCCCATTTTTAACATTTTGCTTACCTTTACTATACTTTTAATGTTAATTTTTAACATTAACACCATGTGTTTCTCAAAATCCCTCTTTGATTTCCATATTTCGTTTTTAACCAAATCCCTAACTTGCCACTTTCAATTTGTTAAACTTAAAGTATTTATCCCTGAGTTTCTCCTTTGTGGCTTTAGTAAGTCAGTTTGGTTTGATCTTCCTTATCATCTTTTTACTCTTTTTTTTTTTAGGACAGAGCTATCTTGAATTAAAAGCAATTTATTTTTAATTTTTACAAACCTCTTTCATACCATCCAATAACTTCTTATCCCATTAATGAATCTTTATGAAGCAGCATATCAGCATTATTTCACAGAGGCCTCTTGTGACATATGTTTATTTTTAAATTATTGTTTTGGTAACAATTAATCATTAAGACTGATTTTAGTGGTGTAAACTAAATTTAAGTGTGGGACTATAGCAAGAACAATATTTACTTAAATAAGCAACTTGTAAAGATTGTGTATAATATAAAAAGCAAAATGATAGATATTACTTTAAGTATGATTACAAATAACTATTTGTGGATGTTAATATACAGCTGTAACCAAAAGCTATGCATCACCTTAGAATTTTAGGAATAAGACATGCTAAGAAAAACAATTATATAAACATAATATAGGTCTTTTATTCAACATAATCAAAGCAACTACGAAGTGATAATTGCAAAAGACAACCAGAAACCATAATAGTAGTACTTTAGTATTAGCATGTATTCCATGTTTTTTCAAGATTCCTTAATCCTCTCAACCGTGGACTCGATGATATGTTGAAGGGTTGAATTATCCTTTAAATTCCTCCTTGCAGCAATCAAACGAGCTATTATTCAGCAGGTTTCATGCAACTTTAGATAATTCTATGGTGATGCAAAACTTTTGACCATAGCTGCAAGTGAAATAGTAATCTATTTAAACTAAAATTGGAAAATGTGAAATATATTTTAATTGTGACTCAAAAATATATTAATCTAGTGGTAACAGCAAATGCCCTGTTACAACAATGCCAAAAATAAATTGTGGTTGTATTCTATGTTCAGAAGTAATTTGAAAAGAGTAAGAAAACATATTATTGAAGAAATGAAAGACTCAGTTAAAAAGTGGATAAAGTCTTTCTTGTTGATTTTAGTAGCTTAGAAAATTAACACTTTTCTCCTACAGAATTTCTTGCCAGAGATGTCTACCTTATCTATGCCAGCGGTGTCCTATAGGATTACGATGATCGCCAAACTTGTGGCAATCAGGTCACCATATTCGCCACATGATATAAAATATATGCAATATCAATAAAATAAGTGTGCAATCTTTTGAAAATAGGTTTGAGGTTTTAAACTGTCAGCAATCAAGACTGATAAGCAGTAAAATACGGTAACGTAAAAAGAAAAAAAACAACGAAAATCTTGAATATTAATGCGAAAATAGAAACAAATATCTTCTATACTATTATTCTGCTTGTTTGTATGTACGACCATTACGCTTTCTGACCGACAACCTGCTGCATAAGCATGCGTAGTTAGAATGTTTCCCCAAGAAAAACTGCGCATGTGCATTATTCACTCGACGAGAAACAAAGCTCAGTGAACGAGTCGCTACAATTGCTGTATGAAACAAGAAGTAACAAGAAAAGGGGAATGTAAATATACTTTACTAACCATTTTGGACAACAGAATATTAAAAACTTATTAAAGTTTTTAAAAAAGGTTTGACGTTAGGTCGTAGAATAACATTATAAGTTTATTTATCGATAGTATTAAGTACAGTAAAGTTTACCACTACACATGTGGCGAATCGATGCTCTTCATCTATTATAAATATACTAGCAGAGACCCGCAAAACATTTCCGGCCAAATTAGTATCTTTATCGTAACAGTACTTCTTTAAATATAACATCTCTAGCTCAATACAAACGAATTGTAATCGTAGACAACGAAATGTGTAAATCCACTTGTATATAGGCCGTACTTTATAAAACTTTAACTTGTGTTAGGCCTAAGTTCGATAAAGAGATAAATTAACACTGTAACCTGTACGTTTTTTTGTTTTTTTTACTTTAGTTTAGTTAGGACCAATCGCATTGGACAGCACTGGTCTATGCACATAGAACAAAACCAACAAATGAATTCATTGTCTCTAACCATAACTTAGGAAGTGAAAATTTCGAATCTATAGAAGCACTGCCTGTGGAATTAATTGTCTGGTCCAATTAAAGGCTAGAAATTACCTACAACTCAGAAAACAGTCACTGAAAACTCAAAAATATAAGTAGCATAAACAAATAGTACAAAATAACAGAACTACACGTGTAACTTCGTGGCAATCGAATTTATGTCTCGTTTCGTTTTCGTATTTTGTTTCCTTTCTTTGTTTTAACGCAAAGCTACACAATAGGCTGTATGCGCTCTATCCACCATGGGAAATCAAACCCTAGATTTTAGCGTTGTAAGTCCGTAAACTTACCGCTGACCCATTTGGAGGACTAGTTTTTATATTTATGATGATCTTGGACTGAAAAGCTCTTATAATTTCAACATAAATTTACAATATTTTTCTTCTATTGTTTAGTTTTTATGAGAAACAATTTTTCCAATAGATGGAGAATTGAATATATGTGAAAGTTAACTACTAGTCATTTAGTGAGGCTGTTACAGTGCTAGTCATTCAGTCCAACACTGTAAACTTTGAAATTCTGTTTTAACAAAGTTGAGTTTCTAAGTAAATGGTTGTTTTACTTGATTTCTGAGTTAGTCCTGTCAAAGAACGTCGCCTGTAGAACTTGTAAGTTATAATCGGCAATAAACGCTTCTGTTTTCATCGAGTGGACTGTGCATTATTTTTGATGAAGAAATCGTTACAACACTTGTATCAGGAGTAGAATTATTTTGGTAAAAATTAAATAGCATCAAGAGCAATTTCAGGATAACGACATGTGCTCGAAGTGAGATCGAAATTTTGCTCTAAACGATGAAACAGTAGAAAGATGAACAGGCAGAAAGAGACAGAATATTAAAAGAAAAGGACGAATAAAGATATATAAAAATAAAAGAAGATCAGGAAGAAAATTACTGAAAATTTAAAGAAGGTCGAGAAGTAAAAGATAGGAATTCAAGAGAACAGTTAAAAGAAAGAGGCACAAATTTTAAAGAAGACTTGGGAACAGAAATAAACTTCATTCAAGACAAGATTGAAGAACCTATTGGAGATAAACAATGAGATTATAACAGCAAAACTGGAGTAGTACAGAAAGACATCTCTGAATATTTTATATCGATCATCTTTCATTTTGTTGTTGACAGCTAATCAAAACAACACAAATTTCGTTGTTTGATTAATCACAAAATAAAACTTGCTTCAATAGATTTAAAAAGATTTGAATAGAAATTTTAAATCTCGAATTCTCATATGGTATAACTCAACATCATGCCTTGCTCGTTATATGAATAGCAACATAACATCAATATTGCAGTTCGTGTAGAGAGTAAAAGCATTCACACCTCTGTTGTGCAACTAAGAGAAAAACTGGATGTCTAAATAAACATTACTGAACCTATTTTAGCAATACTAGAAGCAGTGAATCACCTCCTCAGATTATTTTTCAGTAACAATAATCACACCATTTTAATCAGTAATATAGAAATTTCATATTATTTATTTGTAAATGTTATCAACTACATAGCAGCTTTATAAATTGTGTATATCTGACAATATGAGCAATTCTTAAGTGTTTGTGTGAGTGTATCCACGTGTCAAATATGTTTATGTAACTTTCAAACACTGAGTAAAACTGCATTAATACTTTTTTATCAAGAGTTATAAAATGTTTAATATGGGTGATTTGATTGTGTATTTTACTT